TTCCAAGCACTGCAAAAATAAATAAATAAATAGGCTTCTTACTTTTTTTTTTTTAAATTTTGTTTAGTAGTAGATAGACAAAATACCTTTTTTTTTTTTAATTTATTTACTTTTATGTGGTGCTAAGGATCAAATCCAGTGCCTCACATGTGCTAGACAGGCATCCTTCCACTGAGCTACAACCCCGGCCCTGGCTTCTTACTCTTGAGAAAGCCCATACTTAGCACTCCTTACTTTCTTAAGTAATTTTCTGCTTATACTTGCAAATAAATAAATAAATTTTAAAGTAGCAAAGTAACTTTAAAATAGCCCAACCAATGTTTTATATAAAATAGTTTTTGGGGCACTACTACAGATTAAACCCAGGGCCTTGCACATGCTAGGCATATAATTTTTTATATTTTATTTCCTTTTATATTTTATTTCCTTAAGCAATAGAATCTCTCAGAGAAAAACAGAAGTACTCATCAAAAATTTTGTTCAGGGCTGGGGCTATAGCTCAGTGGTAGAGCACCCGCCTCACACGTGTGACGCACTGGCTTTGATCCTCAGCCCCACATAAAAATTAATAAAGATATTGTATCCAACTACAACTAAAAAATAAAAATAAAAATTTATTGAGCACACATCCTTTTTGATCTAGAGGTATAGGAAACTGCTGTCACTGAGCCAGGCTCAACAGCTTAGTTCCTTATTTCCTTGCCACTGACCTTACTAGGGCTACCAATATAGGACTTCCTTACCTGCTAAGTACTTTTCCAGAATTTCCTGCAGTTCTACAATGTTCTTTAATCGAGAGAGCACCTTCCCCTTCATCTCAGGTGATGTCTGTCTGCAGAAGGCATTTACAACCTGCAAAATGCAAACTACATTTTCATACTTTGAACTTTTTAGATTTTAATCTTATTTGCATTATTTCCCAGATCTGAAAGATGTCACTAAGCAGCATATCTGTGAATTTAGTCTGTGCTACAGTTTGGATCATGAATATCCCCAAAAGGCTAATGTGGTAGTCAGTCACAGTGGCTCATGACTGTAACACCAGTGAATTGGGAGGTTGAGGCAGGAGAATCACAAGTTGGAAACCAGCCTGGGCAGCTTGGCAAGATCCTAAATAAAAAATGGGTCTGTAGGGCTGGGGTTGTGGCTCAGCATTAGAGCACTTGTCTAGCATGTGCGAGGCACTGGGTTCAATCCTGAGCACCACATAAAAATAAATAAATGTCAAACTGCAACTTAAAAAAAAGAAAAAAAAAAGTTTCTTTAAAGAAAAAAATAGGCCTGCAGATTTGACTCAGTGGTAAAATGCTTCCCTAGTACATGCAAGGCCCTAGGTTCAAGCCTCAGCACTACAAAAAAAAAAAAAAAAAAAAAGAAAAGAAAAGAAAGAAAGGGGGAAAAAATAGCTCACATTTCCCCAAGTATGGTGCTATTGGGAAGGGTAGAGCCTTTTAGAGGTGGGGCTTCAGGGAAGGTTCTGTGGACATCAGAGGGTGTGCCTTTGAAGGGACTTATGGGACCGCCATTTATTCATCTTTTGCTTCCTAGCTATGGGGGGTCCACCACATGCTCCTCATCATAATGTGCTGCACTATCACATGCTCAAAGCAGTGCTGCAACTGAATGGACTGGAATCTCAAAAACTATGAATTAAAATAAACCTTTTCTCAAAGTTAATCCTCTCAAGTATTTTGTTAATAGTGATGGAAAGCTGATTAACGAAGTCAATAATGTAACTATTCTCAACAAAGTGGTAGGAGGAAAATATATCCCTAGGCTAAAATACAAGAAAGATGACTTTTAACCCTAGTTCTACTTTATATTACTTTACAAAAAAAAGTAGAATAGCTAGAGAACACAAATTCTAGTCTTACTCTGCTACTTACTAGCTGTGACCTTGGCTCAATCTAACTTTTCTGAGATTTTATTTCTTCAACCATAAAATACAAATATAGTTGTTGTATGAATTAAATAACATAAAGAAATCATCTCAGCACTTAAACATTTTAATGACTTTGAACTCTGCACATGAAACCCTATGTGTAAAACGAGGTCAAACACCTCTCCTGCCCATATCAAAATAAAACTGTGACAATCAAATTTAAGTTCATTGAAGCGCGCGAACATTCTCTGAAATAAAATGCAAGGGAAAGTCAGTGAGAGGGTAGTAAAGATGTTGCCACTGCTGTCAAACACAAACATGTTCTGAAGGAAGGTAAACTACCAGCACTCATCTCACTTATTCCAAACAACAGCACATGCCTATGCTAGAATAAGCATCATTTCCACAGTGGAGATGTGAAGAGTTCATTCTCAGCAGAGGAGGCTGGGAGGAGGCAAAGCTGGGCTACAAGAGCAAAGTACTTTGATTTAGTGAGTTGAAGAAGTACACAGAGTTGGGGAGTAGTGAGATGTGGGATGTAATACCTAGAGAGGCACACAGGCATTAGTGCTTGGTGGACACTTTTCAGGGAGTCTTATGAGAGCCAAGAAAACAGTTTTGTTTTGAAAAAAACTATGGCCAATAGGTGAAATACCCTAGCAACTCTGCTCACCTCTCGGAACCAGTTGAGGGTAAGAAATATGAGTGAACACATGAAGGAACGCTCCTTGAGAGACATGGACTCCAGCTTCTCTCCAGGCTCCAAGTCAGTAAGGAATATAGGACAGTCTGAAGGAGAAGAAAAAACATTTCCAACACCTTTAGCTTAAACCAAAAAAAATCTGGTTGTGCCCCTGGATTACTAACTTTTCACCTTATTTCATATTTGAGGGTCAAGCTTTGATTCACCTCAAAAAATACTTCCATACTAGTTTCAAAAAAATACTTGGATATTACACAGCAAACAACAAATATAATTAGGAAGTTTCTATAAAAATTATGGACAGAAATACTAGGAGGTAATATGAAACTACAACAACAATTGATCTGTTAACATATGGGATTCCATTCAGACTATTTTGTCTCTGGAATCCCATCATTATTGCTATACCACTCTATGAAGTTAGAAAATTGCTTTCCACATACACTATGTACTGGTCTGGTCCTTGTCTATGTATACCAAAAGGTCACAAAGAAGAAAGGATTTGAGAGCTTTCTCCTATACCTAAGAGACCATCAATCTCCTCCAGGTTTCCATTATGTTGTCTTGCCACACAAAGTCTCAATAACCGGAAATGGGGAGCCAGGCACAACGGAGACACCAATCTGGGAAAGAAAAATCCATTGCTAGAACACACTCAATAGTCACAGTTATGTTAGTTCAAGCCTATTAGGAGCTCAAGTTTATAATTAGAAAGTATGCCCACAATAAATGTCTACTTTTATAACAAATGGCAAGAAACAAAGGGCAAGAATGCTCAGCAAACAATCACCTAAATTATAGGAAGGTGAAGAGTATGTGGAATGAACGTGAAGCAGAACTGAGATCAAGGAAGGTGTGAGAGAGACAGAGGTAGCCAAGAATATTCATGAGAGGAAAGAAAGAACTAATGAACATAAGAAAAAATAGCCTCACAGAACATCTGTTGGCTCTCAGAGAGGCAATACAAATCTCAACTCTAGGGTCCAAGAAAAAAAAAAACAAGAACTCTGTTCCAGTCTCTCTATTCCCTCCAAATACCATCTCTTTTGGAATAAAGTCTTTTTTAAAAAATATTTTATTTTTTAGTTATAGATGGACATAATAACTGTTATTTATTTTTATGTGGTGCTGAGGATTGAACCTGGTAGCACATAAGTGTGAGGCAAGTGCTCCACCACTGAGCTAAAATCCCAGCCCCTTGGAATCAAGTTTTTTGACTCAAGTTTTCCTCAGATGGAAAGAACTATGGGCATTTCCTATAAACATTCAAAATATCAACAGAGTTATAGAAAAGAATACTTGTACTGACTTTTTGCCTGGTTCCTGTGAAGTCATTTGACTTCCCTCTTTTTCAAATTCCTGAGAAAATAGCAGTGGCAGGAGGTTGATGACGATCCCATCACGAGTATCATATTCTTCCAGCCCATAGAGAGCTTTCACAGGAAACGGAAAGTCACTGTGAAGAGAACCCAGAAGCTGATGCTCAAGCTCAGGATTAAGTAAGGTTATAAGAGAAACCACTAGAACAAGCCAATTTCAAACAAAAGTATTATGGAGAAAAGTTAGAAATGGGGAATAGAATAAGTGGGCAATCTTAGCAATTCTGGAGTTGGGGGTGCAGGAGTGTTGGGGGCTTGGAGGAAAGAAACAGAGGGAGTGGGCAGATTTGGCTGAGATCAAGGGTATTCTGAAATTTGCAACAGTTACTGATTGAACTGAGGCAACTTCTTTACCACTACTACCAAACCAGTACTTACCCTTCTGGAATAACACAGAAGTCCACCACAAAGGCATCTTGGAAATCATTAAAGACAGTTGGTCCAATCCATTCCTTCAGGAAACAAAAAAGAGACAGTAGTTCAGGATGTACTTGTGATAGAGATGTACTCGCCCTAGACAAATGATTGTTAACCTTTCTAAGCCTCAATTCCTCATTTCTAAAAAGGAGAAAGTAGGAAAGAGAGAATGCATAGAAAGTGCTTAGCTGAGTACTTGGCATAGAATAGGGCTCTCAAACAAATGATGTCTATCAACACCTCCATCAACTCTCCTCCTTCTCCTCCTCTTCATAACTATTATCATGAGAAGGAGGCATCAGAGGAGAGCCCTGAAACAGGGAAGGGTAGAACAGCCTTTCCAACTAAAATGTGGGAGAAATCGCAGGATAATCTATTTTCACACTGTAACAGACAGAACTTGAGGCTCTCATGCTTTACTGATTTAAGAAAAGTCACAGCCTTACCAAGGTTTCTGGAGTTAGTTTCCCTTCTTGGATTAGGTTGGCAAACTCATCATAATAAAGTCCAGAGGCCCGAGGAGACTGCTCACTACAGGAATGAACCAACTGCAGCAAGGAGGTCACCTGGAGTGGTGGAAGAGAATGAATGCTTCACCCCTCCCTAAGTTCCATTTGCTCCATTCAATATCAAGCTCCTTCCAACATTAATGGTAAAGCTCTACCTCTCACTTGAGGTTTTCCTGAGCCTCCCGACTAGTCTTGTCTCTATCTAGCCACATGCTTTCTCTAATACATAAGACATATGCAGTCTCATTAATTTTTTCTAAAGCAAAAGCTACAATTATTTCAATTCTATGCTAAGAATACTTAAGGATTACCTCTGCTTAAAAAGTAAAATAAAAAATATCTGTCCGATATTCACATCCCTATGTTTTCTATCTCTGAACTAGCTTATTTTTTTATATACCTTTTTATTTATTTGTTTATTTATTTTTATGTGGTGTTGGGAATTGAACCCAATTCCTCACATGGGCTAGGCAAGTCTCTACCACTGAACTATAACCATGGCTCCCTCTGAATTAGATTTAAGCCCAACTTTCCCATTGTACACTTATTATCTCCTATACTCCAACCAACCTGCAACTCTTTTTCATTTTTGGCTATGCTGGGGATGGAACCCAGGGCCTTGCACACACCAGGTAAATGATCTAACACGGAACCACCCTGCTACTCTTTAAACATGGTTCATTGTTCTTGGTAAGAATTTATAGTTTAGGGGCTGGGGTTGTGGCTCAGTAGTAGAGTGCTCGTCTAACATATGAAAGGCCCTGGGTTCAATCCTCAGCACCACTTAAAAATAAATAAATTAACTAAATGAATGAATAAAGGCATTGTGTCCAACTACAAGATTAAACAGATATAGAAATAGGGTCTATCAATAGATTCTAAGTATGCCGATAATGGTAAACATCATAAGAGGTATAAGTTCAGGAAATCAAATTATTAAAAACAAGTACTCTTTCTAGTGAACTGACAGTAATGAGAAACAATTCCTATTACTCATAAATATATTTGACTATACTGCACAAACTCACCTGTGTACACTGCTCATTGTTCAGGTCATCTCTCCTTTGGGTCAAAGCAGATATAATTCTAGAAACAAGAATTTTGGTTTCATTTTGTAAAATTTTATTTATTTATAAGTTTAAGAACCCTGCCTTCCCTGAGGCAGAAGGCATGGAGGAGACATGGAGGAGTAATATTTTGTCCACAAAAATGTGGATTAGAGCAAAGGTTAGCTATCTAATATATATATATATATATTTTTTTTTTTAATTTTTAATATTTATTTTTCAGTTTTCAGTGGACACAACATCTTTGTTGGTATGTGGCGCTGAGGCTCGAACCCGGGCTGCACGCATGCCAGTCGAGCGCGCTACTGCTTGAGCCACATCCCCAGCCCCTCTAATATATATTTTTATGATTTTTGTTTTGTTTTGGCTTGGGGTGTGGAAGGCAGTCTCACTATGTTGCCCAGATTGGTCTTAAACTTCTGGGCTTACGTAATCCTCCTGTCTCTGTTCCCCAAGTGCTAAGACCTTGGTAGGTGCCAACACACCCAGCTCATACATTTTTTAAAGGGCACAACAAATTAGTAAAAATAATACAAATAAGTGCAAGTACTTTTTTTTCTCTTTAGATTGGATCTACCTATGTTGACTCAGGCTGGCCTCTTGAACCCCTGGCCTGAAGTGATCCTCCTGTCTCAGCCTTCTGGGTAGCTGGAACTATGATGTGAACCACCATGCCTGCTTAAGGCAAACACTTCTTAAGTGTACACTATATGCTGGACACTGCTCTAACCTCTTAATACATTCAGTAACTATGAACTTAATACTATCATTGTCCTCATTTAACAGATGTGAGGTAACTTGCCCAAGATCATTCAGCTAGTACACAAAGAAGATTTGACTCCAGGCAAGCAGTGTGGCTTCAGTGAATAAATTCTTAACCAATACACAATGCGGCCTCTTCAGATTATTAATGCTGATTCTAAGGATGTATCCTGGGGTCTTGGGAATTTCTGATAAATAATTCCAAAAAGCATGAATTAAACTAATGTCAGTTTGAAATGGCAACACTGTTATCAAACCCCAAATCCAACGTGACTTTAGATGTTACAATCCGGGAGTAAAAAGGGAGGAAATCTACAAGGAAGACCTTATTCATACCAAACATGAAGTTTTAGACAGAATTAACACAGCAATGTAGACCTGCACTATTCACTGCCTACATGAGGAGCAAATACAGAAAAAAATACATTGCAGGAAGATCAAATTTCTCCTTTTTTTTTTTTTTAATGAAAGGCTTCTAGAACTATATACCTGGGCAATTTCTAGGTTTTTTTTTTTTTTTTTTTTTTTTGAAGATGGGTAGCATGACTTTATTTATTTATGTGGTGCTAAGAATCAAAGACAATGTTTCACCCATGCTAGGCAAGAGCCCTACCACTGAGCTTAAGTCCCAGCCCAATTCCTAGTTTTTAACCAACAAAATATAATGACTTTGATCACAATTCTGTAAATACTATATATGGTATACATAGTCAAGATTAGAAGGGAAGATAGAAAAGTAGCAAAAGACATTAGTTAACTTCTCTTATGACTCCCCCGACCCCCAGTACTGAAGCATGAAACCGGGGCACCATACCACTAAGCTATTTCTGCAGCCCTTTTAATTAATTAATTTTTAGTTGTTGATGGACCTTTATTTTATTCATTTATTTATATGCAATGCTGAGAAGCAAACCCAGTGCCTCGCTCTACCACTGAGCCACATCCCCAGTCCACTTTAATTTTTTTTTTTTTTGGTACTGGAAATTGAACTCAGGAGCACTCAACCACTGAGGACATCCTCAACCCTATTTTTGTATTTTTATTTAGAAATAGGGTCTCACTGAGTTGCTAAACACCTCACTATTGCTGAGGTTGGCTTTGAACTCATGATCCTTCTGATTCAGCCTCCCAAGCCACTGGGATTACAGGTGTGTGCCATCATGCCTGGCTCTCCCTTTAATATTTTGAGACAGGATCTCACTAAGTTGCCCAGGCTAGCCTTGCCTTTCCTCAGCCTCCAAGTAGCTAGAATTATAGGTGTACAATACTGCACCTGGTTTCTATCAGCTTTAATGTCTACTGTTAAAGCACAAAGTAACATTTTATTTTCTAAGGCAGCAACTTGATTGATGGATCTTGAGACACATAAGTCAGAATCTTCACGCATACCTGTCTGTTGCCATGACACCAGCCATGGTGATAGCACCAATAATACCAATAAGTTTATACTTAAATATGGTGCTAGAGAGCTGCTTTCGTACCACCAGATGCATGTCATCCTGCAATGAGAGAAAGATGGAGAAAGATGAAGATGCTGGAATGGCACAGCAAAAGAATCTATGGATGCTGAGCTTAAAAGAAAACTAGAGTAGGAAGGGTTCTGTCATTTACTATGTGATCTTCAGCAAATTGTTTCATCTTTCTGAGTCTCAAATTTTTCCTCTATAAAATGGAAAACATTGCTTTAAGGATTAGAGACAAATTATAAAAAATTTCTAGAACATTGCCTGGCACATGATAGACTTTCAATAACAAACTGTTGTTATCATCATGGTGGATGTTCTATATGGTTATGTCCCTGTTCCTGGCTTCCTCAAAATATTATAAATCACCAAATGACCCAGCAATTCTATTCCTAGGTATACATCCAAAAATAGAAACTAAAACAAATGTATACCAATGTTCATAATAGCATTATTCAAATAGCCAGAGGTAGAAACCACCCAAGTGTCCATCAATAAATGAAACAAACTGTGGTATATATAAAATTGATTATACAGCTATAATAAACAGTTAACTCTGGGGGCTGGTGTTGTGGCTCAGTGATAGAGTGTTTGCCTAGCTCATGTGAGCCCTAGGTTCGATCCTTAGAACCACACAAAAATAAATAAATAAAATAAAGGTATTGTGTCCAACAACAACCAAAACATAAATATTAAAAAAAAAGAGTGAGTCTTGACATATCCTACTACATAGACAAACCTTTAAGACATTATACCAAGTGAAATAAGCCAGACACATAAAGACAAAATATTGTATGATTCCACTTATAAGAGGTATCTGGAATAGACAAATCCATAGACAGTGGTTTAGAGATTAGTAGGTGCTGAGAGCAGGGAAATATAACACATTTTGATCATTTCCATCCCCATTAGCCCCCTTCCCCTCCCTGCTCCCTTTCTACCTTCTCTAATCAGACTCCCTTCTACTTTCATGATCTTTTTAAAATTTTCCCCTATATTCCACAGGAGAAAAAACATTCAATACTTGTCTTTCTGAGCCAGGCAATGTTCTAGAAATTTTTTATAATTTGTCTCCAATCCTTAAAGCAATCTTTTTCATTTTAGAGGAAAAATTTGAAACTCAGAGAGATGAAACAATTTGCTGAAGATCACACAGTAAATGATAGAACCCTTCCTGGTCTAGTTTTTTTTTTTTTTTTTAAACCCAGCACCCATAGATTCTTTTGCTGTGCCATTCCAGCATCTTCTCCTTTCTCTGGCTTATTTGCCCTATCATGATGATCTCATGCCACTAAATTATTCACCTAAAAACTGTTAAAATGGTAAATTTTATGTTAAGTATATTTTACTAATTTAAAAATAATGAAGGGATTTGGCAGTAGAGTGCTTGCCTAACACATGTGAGGCCTTGGGTTCAATCCTCAGCACCATATAAAAATAAATAAAATAAAGATATTGTGTCCAACTACAACTAAAAAATAAATATATATAAAATAGAATCAATACCTTATAAAAAATTAAAATAATGAAGTAGTTTTACATCATTGATAATGAAGCAATCTCCAATAGTCTTCTAAATGCAAAAAGCAAAGACATAGAATAAGAGGAGGGAGGGGAAGACCACAGATAAACACAAATTTGTAAATGCTCAGAACTCTCAGAAAGATATAAATAGGGATACTGTCATGAGAAAGACAATTCAAACGCCTAGAATACTGGGGGAGATGGAGTTATTTTTCACTATATATCTTCTATACATTTTGGGGTTTTTTTAAATTTTTTTTTGTAGTTGTAAATGCACAGAATTTATTTTAATTTTTATGTGGTGCTAAGGATCAAACCCAGTGCCTCACACATGCTAGGCAAGTGCTTTATCACTGAGCTACAGCCCCAGCCCCCTTCTATACATCTTGAAATTTGTATCACATGTATATATTATCTTGCCAAAATATTTTTTTAATTAAGAAAGCACTGGTTGTTCAATCTATAGTCCAATACAGATTACCACCACAAGGTGGCACTAAAGATACAAAATCACTAGGAGTTACAATTCCAACCTAACTGCTCTTAATTTTTCTATATATATATAT